CCTCTGTGTTTGTCTTGAAACTATCTGCACAGCTTTCAGCACACAATCTTCCTGTCACTGAGGAGTTTTTAATTTCTCCTCAGCTTTGTTCTGCTGCTGTATCCTTCTCACCTCCCTCTTCGCTGGAACACTTCTCACCTCAGTTCCACTGGCTATGATGAAGTGCCTCTCTTTCTGCACCAATGGCAATGGGAAGCAGCCATGCAGAGACAAACAATGAATGCACACTCACCAGCTTTCCAAATTGAATAATTATTATTATGAAGCTAAAACTAAAAAAGTTAGTCCAAAAGAACTGCACATATATTTCTTACCTTTGTCTTCTCTGCTGGTTTTCACATCCTTTGCTACGCTCTTTAAGGAGGTGATAAGGACAGCAACATCAGCGCTGTGAACTTCACATTCAACAAAAATGTCAAGATCATCCACAGAGTTCTTGGGCTTTTTGGCTCCACGGGTTTCAAAGTGATAGATTTGAGTTTCAAACACCTGCAAGAACCAAGTGTTCATATGATGAAGCTTCTCCAAAGACTGAAAATCCAGGTAAGTCTAGATACATTTCTACAATGTCTTTAAAAGATGACTGAGATATTAACTAGAAGAGCATGTCAAGCAATGAAGCCAAATAATGTCTGGTTTACAAAGAGCTAAAATGCAGACAGAGCTGAAGACTAAACACTATAGCATTGGGTAGAGAAAGAAGGAGATGAAAGATGAGATACTGTTGACTGTAGAATTTAATCTGTGCAGAAAGAGCAAATGAGTGGCTGGGTAACCTAAAACCCTGCCAGAATGAAAGCAGATCTATTGATGCAAAATAGCACCATAATCATTAAATAATTGTGAAAAATAAGTAACAAATACAATACTTTAGAGTTATTCATTTTCCCAGATAAGAGTGAGCACCTGGTAGGGGTACTTCAAGTGCCCAGGCTACATAATGCCTATGAGGTTCACAGCTCTTATAGTCTTTGTATCTCCTGCCAAATTCACTGGCTTCTAACATCCCCACAGTCTGAGTGCTTGAAATGCCAGCCACCACAACTGCTAGAAAGAAACAGCGGATTGGTATCTGCTCTAAACAGCCCTTGCATGAAATGGTGATTCTTCTGAAAGAAGATGCTGCCTCCCTCCAGAGCACTCTCTCTCTTTGCCATGGGACCAGAAAACCTCTCTGAGCAGCTGGAGCCAAACCAGGACAAGGAGACTTTCCTCAGGAGAAAGGGGGGAGGCAGCATGGGGTGTAAGCCAGGCAGGGAGCTGGAGAGGGGTGAGAGGAGGAGGAGAGATGCAGACTGAGAGACATGAAGGCAGTAGGGACAGAAGAGAGGACTCAGCAAAGGAAGGGGATATTGAGGTCTGTACCTCAAAGACTTGGGCTGCCTTAGAGAGCTCAATCTTCCTCACATTGCAGAGGGTGAGGGTCAGGATGAGAGAAGCTCTGTCATCCTCCCTGTTGGAGTCCAGGCTGCCTTGACTGTTCGATGGCTCTGCACCGCATGTCTCCTCCTTGTTGGCCTCTTCTTTTGGGGCTGACATCCCCACCAAATCAGTCTTCATTGGGAGACAGGGGAGTGGATTGCAATAGCCAGCTATTGAGTGGGGGGTGTGTGAGCAATGGCCAGGGGAATTGGTGGGACTGGAGGTGCAGTGTGTGGTGAGCTGAGAGCTGCCAGAGGCAGGGACACGAGCTGGCTGCTGCCTATTAGCGCCGGGACATTTATGTTTGCCGTGCCAGACACATCAAGGGAAGCCGCCTCTGTGGGATGTGCGCAAGAGCCCAAGGCGGCCCTCCTCCCCTGGGTGACTTCAAAGTGCTGTCCTCCTGCTCTGTTTGAAGGTGTCTGCAAGCTGCTCAGCCCTGGATAGGGGTTCCTTTGTGGACAGGCAATTAGCCCGAGCTCCATTTACATCTCTCAGTCTGGACTGACCTACACCATGTCTGAGACTGTCCTTCATCCCCACTCTCTCTTACCTCACTGGCACTCTCTCTGTATTGTCTATAGCCTCTGTGAACCAATGGGCTCTTCTCCCAAATCACAGCCCAATCCAAGTGTTGTCTCTTCCGCACGGACACAGTTCCAGGAGTGCCAGAGAGACCTCAGCCAGAGTCAGAACTCATTGCTTACTTCTGAGCTGTTCCTACCCACAGGATCTGACCCTGTTCTACCCTACCCCTGCAAGAGAGGAGTGTTCCAGTCTCTGTTCCTCCATTGGAACTTGCTTCTGTCCTGGTTTTATCTCCAGTGAAACAGGCTTCAAAAAGACTAGAGTCACATCTTTGCTGTGGGTGGCAGGACAAGCTCCAGGGGAATTCAGCTCTGGTCCTGACAGGGCAGGCACATCTTCCCTTCCCTTACACTTGACATCAAAATAAACATTTCTGTGTATGAGCACCCATATCTTCATAATCTCAAGATACAGTGTGCCAGACCCCCTGGGGAGGCCATCTGCAGGTCCAGAGATTAGACCACCCCTCTGGCCTCCCTTTGCAGATGGAGCCATTTTTTATGTGTCCCTTACCTTATCCTGGCTCAGTCACACCCCTAAGGGCTTTTTTGTGCTCGTACTTCTTCCCTAGCCATGGAAGATAAACAAAATTTTGTCCTCTAGAGATCATGACAGCACCATGTTTTCTCTTGGGCTAAGAGAGAGCACTGGGAAGGTCTCGATTTCCTTACCTATTTCCCTACTGGCAGACAAACCCAAGGCGAACTTCGCAGCACCATGCCCAGGAGGGAGGTCTCAGCATCCTGAGGAATGTTGGCTCCTGCAGACCTCAGGTGCAGGGGGCTTTGCAGGGTGTGGTGAGTGCTGGCCTGGGAAGAGGGGTGTCCCAGGTGTCCCAGCCATGCCCAGGGGCCATGGGTCAGGCCACTGTCTGCCACGCAGAGCCCGCCCCTGACTCAGAACCCATCCCTCATGCACACTGCAGCACCCTCCAGGCCTGCCTTGTGTCCCAGGTGCCTCCAGAGGGAAAGGGAGCACCTCAGAGGTGGCTGAATGACAGCTGCAACTGAATTAGTTGGGTGGAGAAATGGACTATAAGAGGAAAAACCCCTCTTCCCACTACCACTTCCCTCCACCAGCAGTGGTGGCAAAGCTGAGCACAGGAGAAGAAGGCCCTGTCTGATCACCACAAACAACCTGCCCTTTTTTTCATCTGGTACCATTGCTGGTATCTTTATCCTGTATGAGCAAAGCACCACTCATTTGAGATGGATGCAGCATTAATATTTTTAGTTTATTTAGGTTAATTTAGATGGTTACATCTGAACATCAAAATGTCTTCTCTGACAGCTGCCAGCATGGTTTGAAGCAGCAGAGGGAGGTTCAAAAATAATGCATTCCTGTGGACTGCCCCTGTGCTTAATCCTTTTTTCAACAATTTCTGCGTTCTTTGGGGAATTCTTTGGTCCCTTCTCCAAGGCTGCTGTCAGATGTAGACATCTTAAGACACCCAGAGGAGTCCACTTGTGCCAAAAAGTCCTCTCTCCATCACAACCATTGGCCTGGGCCAATGTCTCTGTAAAAGAAAGGGTCTCACAAAAACCTTTGATCACCTGGAACTGAGCTGGAGATGAGGACACCAAGAAATGTCATCATAGTGGGACAGAAGAGAGGAAGGTTACTTGAAAGCTTAGCTGGGGATAGGTTACTCAGAGTAGCACTCCAAGACTTATGGAGTATGCAAAAGTAGAGCAAGCTGGGCTTTGTTGCGCATTTCTAAGTAAAGGCACACATTGGGAAGGGTTTCTTTCAGGCTCATAATCTTGGCTGGATGAGTAACAACCAGCCAGTGTGAGAGAAACTTTTTCTGTGCTGGGTATCCTGTCCTACCTGGGTATTTAATTCTGGTAGACTTGAGTGGTTCCCATACAAGGAGGATTTACACTGGTCAGATAATGCAAAAAGCATTTTTCTACATAGCTGGAACTTTCTTTAAGCCTGGAAATAAGAAGTCACCCATTAAGGAGTGATTTATTTATTTTATTTTATTTAAATAAAAGAATATTATTTAAAATGTGATTTATTTGTAGCATTTAAAGTACTTATGTACAAGATTATTTGTTCTGCAAGAAAATCTACTTTGCATACATTTCCTCTGCTTTTAAAATGCTGAACATTTTATTTTTTCTCATCTGTCTTGCTGAGCAGCCATGCTATGCTGCTTTGGCTGGAGCTATTGCTCATTTAACCCTGCATCCATTAAAGGACAGAGAACCAGACATGTGGCATCAATAGTCTCTAACCATTCCACTTGCACATAAAAGGAAATCATGAGTCTTGGGCTCTCAATATCACTGTAGAACTACTGCCCCTGTCATTCATAGCAACAGGCAGAAGCCTGGAGGAGGAGCTTGGAAAGCTGTCTGAGGATTAGTTTGAAAGACTTTACCCTAGGGATGAAATTGTCTCTTTGTAGCATACAGTTACCTCATGGGTCCTATTATATTATAATATAATATAATATTATATGGGCTACTTTCACACTGAAAATACATGTCAAGTGGGATTGAAAGATCTAGAGACACAATGTGATGAGAAAAAAGGAATAAAAAGATGCTGAGATAAAAAAGGCTACTTCAAAGCACCAAAATGATACCATTTTGCATAAGCATATGTCTATTGAAAAGGTTTCCAGCTGGTAATCTTAGATTAATGTTATTACCCACTCTATATAATGAAAAGAACTGTACTTTCTTATCTTCCTAAAGGATGATGCTTACATTAAAGCACTATTGATTTTCAAACCATAAATAGAAAATTAGTGCTATGGCAGGTATGAGACTCATGAGCTTTAAAATCCCTCTCCATCTTTCAATCTTCCAACAGAAATGTGACCCCTGAGCCATGTTAGTGTCATGATGCAAAATTGTTTCAAGCTGGAAACGCTGCTCTGCTTCACTTTGCTCCATTCTGTTCCAATGCCAAGTCCCCTCCTTCAACCAGGGAGCTACAAGGAGACACTATAAAATGTGAACCAGTCCAAGAGGGCATTTAGCTGATTTGAGTGAAATTTATTGGATAAATACAGAAACAACTTCCTGAACAGCAAAACTCCTCTCTCCATGCTCAGCCATTGAGTTAAGCTGGAGCCACCTTTGGTTCCATTTGCTGACTCAGCTGACATATACTCCAGGAAAAACAAAACTGCTTTCACCTAAAAAAAGGGAGATTAAAGCTCAGATGGGCAGTGGAGATACAAAAAGGTGTTGTTACTTAGGACCTGTCTTGAAAGATAACATGTTTGGGTTTGAATGCAGTTAGACTGGGACAGAGCTGACCCAGGTCTTCCATGGCTTTGGTGGGGACTCCAGCCACAGATGCACTGAGTTAGGAGTTGGGAGGCTCTGTCATCTTCAGCTGCATTGTAACAGGCTTCTTCCTCTCCCTTTCCAAGGTGCTGCTTTCCACCTTGTGAGACCAGAAAGCTAAGAGACACTTCTCAGGGAAGGACACACACACAAAAAAATGTGGCCTTCACACATCAGCCATCCACTGTGAGTAGCTGCATATGTCCATGAAGAGAAATCTCCCTTTGTACCCTGAAAAATCTCCCTGTATACCCCAAAAGGTATAGAGTTTCAGACTCCATGGGAATCTTGGACAACTGGGAGGCGCTGAAGGGAGAGTGACTGTGAGAGAAGGCAAGGAGCATCAATCTGTTCATCATTGACATCCCACCCCTGGTCTCAGAGCTCATGGGTGCAGCAGATTATAGCTCTGCATGGGGAAGATCTCCTTCTGCTAGCCTTTGGCACAAAATGTATGCGGACTTCTCCCAGATTCCCAGGAAAAAGATAATTTTTATACATCAGTGAGAAAAAAATGGGTTAGTGTCTGAAGGCCAGAAGAGTTGAAAGTCTCCTATAGACATCTGTTTCTCTGCTAATCTCTAACAATTAAGATATATAACATAAGTGTTAATGCAGTACATTAGAAGATAATAGACTGAGGCTAGATCAAGACTGGCACTTGCACATGATAGTTTCTAGTCACTAGCAGGTTACAGCAGATCTTCATTTGATCTTCTGGAGGGCATTGCAAAGGATCCCAATCTCACCTGCAAAGGAAATAATCAGAGTAGTTAATTCCAGAACCAACACATTTCTAACACTCCTGAATGTTTTTACCCTTTATATCCATTCTCTTAAAGAATGAGGTGAGCAGAGAAGCGCTGAACTGGACATGTTTATTAGGTTCTTATGGAGTTAGGTCTGCAGAGTCTTCCTTGCCTTCATTAGCCATAGGAGGCTGGCTCACAGGATCAGAGGAGCTGGCTCTCAGCAGGCCAGCCAATGTGAGGGGGAAGATGAAGAAGCTATGCTTCTCCTTCTCCTCCTTACTGAAAACAGCTAGAGCCACAGGATCCACCTCAAGGCCATCTGACTTTTCCTAGCATCTCCCCCAAAAATGGGTTTTTCAGATTTAACAAGTTACAGTCAAGCTTGTTGAATCTTGGCTGGAATTGGGAAGTAATTTTTTCATGAGAAAGAAGATGTATGCTGCCTTATCTTGGATAGGCTCAGAGCATTAAATGCAACCAGATGGAATCCATCTTGTGGTTCCTATTTCTGGCCCAAGTTTTGAGGAATTCAAGGTAACAAATCTGCAGTTCCTTACTATTGATGGTGTCAGCTAAGTTCTTCAGCTGCTTTGCATTGTCCAAGACTTCAATCCTCTGTGTGTAGGGATTATAGCGAACAGAGAAAGGACGAGGGATTGTTTGAGCAAATTTCCTGAGGGAAAAAACATAAACAAATGTACAGCTGAATTTTATTTTTTTTCACTAACTCTTTTCTTGGTGTGTGCATTTGTTGATTGTGAGGATAAGAAAATCTATGGGAGGAAATAGCTGAAATTCCTACTGACTGATCTGAGACCTACAGTGTTCTGCAGCTCACTTGTAACTGCATTTGTCCTTACCACCTGTTTTTTTCTGAATAAGACTAACTAAGCTACTGGCATGGCAACACTGCTCCTGGTACAGGCCAGCTATGTAGCAACTGGGATCTGCCGAGCTTGAAAACCTCATCTTCCTTTTGTTACTGCAAAATGTTACTGCATTCTAATCCAAGTGTGAGCTCCAGGAGAATTAAGGCCAAGGGTCTATGCCATCCTGGCATGCCAAGGAGCAAGCAGAGACCTAACTTCTGACATGTTCTAGCTCTTAAATTACCTGGTAGCTTCCAGGGAATTTAAGAGCTAGACGATAGTTAAGGGAATGAAGCAGCATTCTCTGTTGCAAAATAGTTAAGTCCATGTCAGAATCATTAAGATTTTGGTGTCTTGGGAAAAATATTAATTTGCATAACCACAGAACTGTGGAAAGAAGGGCTCTGAATGGGATGAGATGGTCAGAGCTATTGTTCCAGACTCCTTGTAGACCCCAGCAGGATATTGGCTTATATATCTGCTTTGGATTACTGAAGTTATTGCTGAAAGAGGAAGGGAAGCACGCAGGAGTTGATTATGGAGCCCCACTACACAGACTGTGACTCAGCAGGGTAAATCCCATACAACTAGAACAGTGGAATATGCTGGATGCCACCCCCACAAAGCTTCTTCAGTTTAAACCTTATTATCACCAGCTAAGGACATTGTCTCAAACAGAATTCAGTAAGAGCAGGTCACCAGGTGTGAGAGTGAAAAAATATTACATTGACTATGATGAATTTAGCAGCACTGGTCTATTTTTTCTAAGAGGAGAGATCACATTAGAAGATGGCTTTCCTAAATCGTATCTGAAGATCCCAGTTAGAAGATGAATGCCTTAAACTGAGATCTTTTAGGTCAATCTCAGAATATTTTTTCAGAAAGGTATTCTGTGACCCACAAACATGCATGTCTAGATTCAAGTCACTAACACAGGCTCTAGACCAACCCCCAGAACCTCTACTTTAACCACTTTTTCAATTTGGTCACTGAAACGAGTGAAAAAAAGCTCCAACATATTTTGTTGCAGCTAAGTAAAGCAGGATTTTCCACTTCCTCAAGTGGAAAGCACAGCCCAGAAGAGAAGGCCATCTTTCCCAGAGAAAAGGACACAAGGAAAGGCTGCAGACTTATGACAATTAAGGAAGCAGCAGGGGAGAGAGCTAGGAAGACCTCAGAGCTGGGGAGCCTGAGGTAGCAGAGTATCTTGGGGTGTAGCACAATTTATCTGTGAATGATAGAGGAAGATAAGGGACTGCAGGTCTGGGACAAGTCCAGCATCTCCAAGTGAAAAACATGTTTAGTGTGAACCCAGGCTAACCCCCAGTGGCTTGACTAACACCCAGAAATATGGTGGTGTTTCAACAGGAATAGGAATGCTGTCAAGGTGAAAACCAAGCCAAACACCAGCACGAGCTGAGCCATTCCTGTTTGAAGAATCAGAGCTGAACCTGGACATAACTTCAGAGAAAAAGGAGTAGATAATACAAGGTATTTTGGGTTTTTTTACAAGAACTGCTAATTCTAGTAATGGCTCAAGTTACTTGGTTTGCATTAGTTAGCCAGATTTGACCTTAAATGTTGGTATCACTGCAGTTGAACAGAATTTTTTTTGTTGAATTTTGGTTAGACAGATGAAGCTCTTAGTTACACTTAGCACAAATTCTTGTCTTCATGCACGAGGTATATTCCTGTTACTACTCATTCTTCCCCAAGATTCTGAGGATATAAAATGTTTGTTATCATTAAGTATTGCACAAATTTTTCTGATGCCTCTCAAAACATGATTGTCAACCCAAGACCCATTATGGCAATGAGATCCACTGTATTTGCAGCAGGCAAGAATGGGTTCTTCTCTGGAATGACTGGAGTACCTTAGTTTTTCTTTTGCATCTTTGAAACTTTCAGCAACGTAGTAGATAGGCTGGAACTCAGTAACAGGGTACTTCTGCACAGAAGTCTTCTCCAGGACAAGAGGCTGAATCTCAGGCTTACTTGATAAACAATACTATGAACAAAAAGGTAAGAAATTTATTTCAGTGTAAGAGTGTTTGAATTTGCTGTGAAGGAAATAAAGAGCCACCCCATTTCAGACAGGGAAGAGTTGCTCCTGTGGTATACAGTGATAAAGTCACTCACTGGGAAAGAAGGAGATGTGAGTTCCCTGTGTATCCATACACCTACACATATATCAGAGCTCTATAATGAAGTACTACATTTCATGCTAGGTCTATGCACAAAGTATGAAGCAAAACCAAAGATCCAAAGACATTTTGAAAATAAATTTGAATAATTATAAACATATTTGAAATATTTTTCTAGAACACACCTGCAGCTCCCCAAAAGAAGACAGAAGCCCTGCACCATATGCCTTGAGAGAATCTCCTTCCTTACATAGTCCAAACTCCACTGTAAACCAATAAACCTGGAAAGAAAATGAGACAGAAACTTACAATTCCTCAATAGAAAGTAATATGTGTACACCCTTTATTTGAATACATCTGAAGTTTTCATTTCTGTGTGAAATGTTGCCCTGTGTCAAATTCAAGTGTATAAATGCAATAAATGTCTGAATTCAGACTAAAATTCTTCTTCTGGGAGAAGCACAGCACTAGATTCTTTCTGAGAATCAGTTCAGTTCCATGACAAACAAAGCTGTGTTTTACTCTGCTTATCTTTGTCAGCAGGGATGGTGAAATTATAGCAATAAAGCTTTCCTTTGGCTGGCCAACCCTGGAAGTTCTAACCTTAGTTTAGAAAAATTCGAGTTCTGCTTCACACTGGGCATCTGACTGCAGCAGGGGCGTGAACAGGCGCTGTTGGTGCCGTAGGGAAGGAAGATGGAGTGTGGCCTAATTTTACTCCTGGGTCTGTCCTTTTGGAGGGATACCTGCCCTGGCTCTGAAAAAACTGCCCCATCTATCAAGAGTGTCGAAGTTGGCGGAATTCTTTGCCCAGGTGGCCTCCATTTGGCACTGGGGACACTAATCTCAGAGGAAGATCCCTGGTTTTGTTCAAAGTTTGCGGCTCTGGGTCTCAGTAGTCTCAGAGTAACACCCAGGTGATCTATGCTGACTACAGAGGATATTGCCTGCCTGGCGAAGTGGAAGAGATGCTTGAAGGTAAAACAAATACAGAAGCTGCCTCTTGAAATTTCCTGTGGGGATGTAGTAACATATAATCTTTTCTTGCCCAATATGTTTGTGCTGGAGGAAATCTAGTTTGGGCTTCTGTGTTTAATCACAACTGTCACTTTGAATAAGGGGTGCCAAAGCTATTTTCCTTTAGTGCAACTGTTTCAGGGTGGGGTTTTCCAATCATGGTCTTCACTCTGATCCCATTCAGCTCTATGGGAGTTCTATCAGTGACTTCAGTGGCAGCAGAATTAAGACAACACAGGGTGCTTTGGAAAATTGAGCCCTCATTTATTAAATTACCGTAGCAAGTTTCTCGATGAAATCATCTGGAGCACCCAGAGATGCCAGTCCAATTTCCTGTAACAATAAACCATTATTCTTCAAGCTGTTTATTGCAAACATTCTTCCTGCCCCATCTTATGTAATTGCTCACATTTTAAATGTTACCATTGCTTGCTGCCACACACAAATGTTTACAGGACATGTTCCTATCATGCAAGATCAATTTTAAACCAGAAATCTCTCCAAAAATGAACAAAGGGTCTTGTCCAAATGTCATTTACAAGGCATGATCCTTTGTGCCTGGTACAAAGCCCATTGAGGTCAAATAAAATTTTCCTCTTGCTTTGACAGGCTTTTGATCAAGTCTACAATGAACATCTGAGAGCATGATAGGGACAAAAGGAGGCAAATCAATCACACCTACACACCTTATATATTCCTCTTTGTTTTGATGAGTCCTGATTAAAAGAGCTTTCCTGGAGCCTTGAATGAGCTGTTTTTTTCTGAATGACAGGGCATGATTTGAAAGAGCTCATTCATACCTTGGGAACTAAAGATTTTTCCAGGAGGCATGCAACAGTAGGATTCAAAACACACACACATGAGACCACACGTAACCAGGTTCCTTTCTTGATTTGCTCTAGTGAGGACTGCACAGTGCAAAAGTCAGAGGGTTCCCCCCACACACAGCACAGGCATTGGACCAGCTTCTCACCATTTCAAATCCTAGTAAGCCAAGGTACAGTAGGAAACACCAGTTCTGGGAAAGGGCTAAGCCTGAAGACAATACTGAGAACTTACTAATTAGATCAAACTGACTTTTGTCTTTTGAGATGTTACATTAAGCCTACGTTCTCTTCCTCCTTTTCCTTCTTCCTTCTTGCCTTTTCTTTCCTTCTTTCTTTTAACCTTCTTTTCTTTCTTTTTTCTCCCTCTCCCTCCCCCTTCTCTGTTTCTCTCTTTCATCTGTCAGTCTTTCTGTCTTTATGCCTTTCTGTCTTCGTGTATTTCCATGTTTTCTGGTAGGATGCAGCCAAGAGTTTACTGCTTCACCAGGCCTTGGCTTCTTTTCCAGAGACATTAACACTACCAAAAAGCAATCTCCTCTCCAGCCTTCTCCCATGTTAACAGCTGAGACAGTTCCTCACTTTACTCAGCCTCCAATGTCACTTCAACAGAAAGCAAAACAAAATCTCCACTTTCCCTAACATTTGAATATCATGGTGAGGTAACAATCCATCTGACTCATGAGCTATGTGACTTCACTCAGAAGGATCAACATCTGCAGGGAGGTTTTAAGATGATGGCTTCACAGCACCTGTCAAAAAGCAACTCACTCAAGATCATGTTTGGAGTAGGACTTTATGATTTCACCCATGTGAACTGTGTCCAGATTTCAAGCAATAAACAAGCCATCTCAGCCACTCTTACACAGTATGCTTAAAGGTGACTCTTCATCACCCTTCACAGCCCTTGGATCATACTCTGAATTGCTGTGTGTTTGACTATATAAATAATATAACCACCAAGCAACTTACCTGGGAGAACTGAGCAAAACTGGGATCAGCAAAAAGAGGCACGTGTCCTAGCAGCTCATGACAAATATCACTGCAGGGAAACATGACATCAGAATAACTGTGATTCAGGAAAAGTCCAGCAATGCTGGAAGAATGCCCTAGAGCCAACACACAGTCAAGAGTGCAGTGCATTTCCTCCTACAAAGCAGATGTCATTCACAGTAAAACATTTTGCTCTGAAGCTTTTCTTGTGATGGAAAGGCATGCAAATCCCAGGGGTTTTGTATTTTTTGTGTCACACATCCCTCAGCAGCAGGGACTGTTAGATTTTTTCAAATACAGGGAAGTGATTTGGTGAGATGGGAAAGGTGTAAGATGTCCAAAAAAGGCCAAGTCTGTGGAAAATGTTTCAGCCTGGCATGATGACAATGGGGTAAGGAGGAAGGAAAACAAGTAACAAAAATAGAAAAAAGAAAGGGAAAAGAGTTTGTGGAAAGTAGGAAGCAAAAGAACAAGGAGGAATTGCAACAATATGAAGCACAATAAGCAATCTGTTTTAAAAATGGCAAGTGGAAAAGGACAATGGACAGGGACAGAGAGAAACACTCCAAAAATGAAAAAGAGATGGGTTAAATAGTCTGGGCTTCTCCTGTCTTACTGCCAGGAGCTTGCTTGCAACAGGTTGAGTCCTTGCTGCACTACTTGAGTGCTAATAGCTTAGCTAAATGCCCTTGTACACTGCTCTCTTGCATCCCAGCCACCACACAAGCAAGCCTTCACTGGCAAAATGATCTCATCTGCCCCAGGAGAACTTGCAGAAGTGGATGCAGGCTGTTGAACAGACTAGAAACACTCCATATGTGTTTTCAGAAGAGAGCAGTGCCTTGGCTGCTCTCGCTTAGCTCTGCTCCCAGGAGTGCTGCAGAGTCCCTCGCAGTTATTCCCAGCTGGACTGGCCCTGCTGCTGGTGTGCCCCAGCTTTACACCCTTTGTGTGCCAGAGTACTTACGGCTCTGGGGTGTACATGGGCTTGGAGCCGTGGCGGATGTACTGCGTCGAGTGGAACACTCGGAACGCCAGCCCCGCCAGGAAATCCCGGGAGGAGAGCAAGCCTGCAACAGGGCGCAGCCGAAAGCCAGTGCAGCCTGGAGGGACAGAGAGACAGCATCTTAAAAACAGCTGATATGTTTGATTTATCCTTCTCCAGACTCCTCACAGCAGGAAAAGTCTGCTGATGGTTGGTTTTGTTTTTTAGTTTTATTCTCCTTATGTTAAATAGAGTTTAATTGCAGGCAATTTTCTGCCCAGGTATACCACCAGCACAGCGTCTGAGCATCTGTCCCATTGTACCCCTGGAAGCATTAGAGAAGGGTCTGGGACACAGGCTAAGTGATGTGCCCAAACAGCACAGGGAACCTTTGATAAATCAGGGATTGTTTTTCCTTCTCTGGAAGCACCACCCCCCACTGATGGTTGAGCCCTTTCATTCCATTTTGTTCTTTTAGGTGCTTTGAACTTACTCTGCAAGAAATTTGAAACATCTTCAAGCTGGGGAATATTGTCCTCCCTGTAGCCACAGTACTTCTCCAGCAGTGGGAACACGTGGTTGTGTTCATAGCAAGCATGAGTTGGATACAGACTCTTCAGCTCCCTGAAGACAGTGCCCCAAGTTTTCTTTTCTTCTTCTGTATAGGTGACACGAGGAATAGGTTGGCCACTAGAAAGAAAATGGACACCCTCAATAGCAGCCACAGAAAATGTCCTATTCCATCAACATCGTGCTCTTTGTCCTTTCCCACTTGCCATTTACAAAACATGTAAATGTTCTTCATGTTGCAGCTTTACTAGGGCTGGCCAGGAGCTGCTGGTGCAGGAGGGGAGATGCTTTTGGGCTGCCACACAGGTGCAAAAGGAGCCTCACTTGTCCCTAGGTACTGGCTGGAAAGGACTCTACTGATCTTGGCTGAGATAATGGCCTTTAGGCAATGCTCTTTGCATTATTGTGTTAAAAATAAATCAGTGCTTTTTTGTCTTTTAAAGGCTTTCTCTTAAAATACTTGCTGGCTGATTGATTTCAGTTGATTTCAATTTATTTTCCTACTAGATATGAAGGAGCTCTTTTACTTGCTCTAGTGAGCATTATATTAATTATTTTTGTAAAAACATGAAACCATCAGCTCCATAAAACTCTGTTGCAGTGGCAGAGAAATTCTGATCTGTTCTCTGTGCCATAAGAGGCACAGACTTCAGCCAGTTGGACTTTATAATTGTAAGGAGTACTTATGAGTTAAATCCCACCCTCAGGCCTCCACGTGCTTACTTGAAGCTAACAGGAGTTGTACATCACTAGCAGTGCAGTTTGGCCTCCTGTGAATAACCAACTTCTTAGCAATAATGTTAAGGTCATAGGTGAATCCAGCAGCTTTGAAAAATCAAAGGGGTTTAAGTAACTTAATAGGGTTAACAGCACTGCTAGAATAACTCTGAAGCTTTCCAAGCTCCAGAGATCCATTGTAAAACTCTTGATAACACCCCACCATCTCCCACTCCCTCATTTTTTTCTTGAGCCTCAGGGCAGCTCCTCTGGAGAACCATCACTTTCTGTCTCTCTATATCAGTTCTCCTTGATCTGTGGAGCTTTAAACACGTTGAATTATGAAGATTGCTGGGGGATTTTTTGTTCCTACAGCACTCCTAAATAATCCTCAACTACTTTCCAGGGATACAGGGGGAAGCTCTGGCTTAAAAACCTTTCAAATTTCAATTAAAAAAAAATTCTAGGGTCAATGGGGCCAGAAGCAAAGTAAGGCAGAGGGAAAAGGCAAGCTAAAAACAAAGAAAAGAGAAGTCAGGGAAATTGAACATTCAACAAAAACAGTGGGTAAATCTATCACGAGAGGAGGCAAAAAAGCAAAGGCAAAGTAGAGACACACAGCACAAAGGAAGAGGACAGAAGAGATGCAAAAGAAGGGATACAGAAAAGGAATAAATTAATGTTAGGAAGAAAACAACACAAGCAAGCACTGACCCATCTCACTGTTGCAGCTGTGTAGCACCTTCACAATTTAAGAACCCTTGCTTTTTCAGTAAAGCCTGATAACTTTGGTTGTGCCCCTCCTCCTGCCCACTTCTCTGTATCTTCTGTGGGATATCAAAGAATGGACATTAGATCTGTTCACATCTGGACACCAAATCTGATCCAAATTTTCTAGCTATAAACTGGATTTCTGACTTTTTTCACCTGACACTTCGTACTTTCCAGCTACCAGTTCAATTTTGTCTCTCATTTTTTGATTACATTATTAGCTCTTTGGCTCAGGGGCTATCTTTTGATCCTGTGCAAACATAGCCCAAAATTTACAATATATGCTAATTTTTTCTTTGCAAACACACTTTTTACCAGTCCAGCAAGAATCAGGCCCAATAGTATTGACCTATACACGTGAGTGTCTCTGGGAACGTATTTTTTTCTCCTTCAGATCTGATCATTGAAAGCAATCAAATAAGCCTGTTCTGACTAAATTTATCATCTCAATTTATTTTTCTTGGGAAATGAAAGCCTAAATTGCTGATTGCAGCTGGATTAGGCATGATAAAAGTAGGGTAACAGACACAGGATTAGCAGCAGAACCATAAGCTACTCATTATTTTAATAGTGTATGCAGATCCTGCTTTAATGTTAATGATAGGCACTCCTCCCTCAGCCCCAGTTTAATGGGGAATACCAGATTTATTCAATGCTCAGGTCTTTGTAGTAGCAACAGTCTGCTGCTCAATTAGAGAACAAAGCTGGGAAAGAGGGGTGCTGTGGGGAGAGAAGGGAGATGTCTCCTCTGAACGTGTGCCTGGAACAATTCACTTTTGTTTTGCTGCGATTTGGGAATAAATGCACAAACGGGAAGATTTAAACACGTGGCAGGGAAAAGCCAACAGCAGGAGGAAACAGCTTGTGGAAAAGCAGGGCTAGCCAGCAGGGTGAGCAGCCTAGGAGAGGGCAGGAGATGAGGGCTTGCTTTCTGCCCATGCAGTGGGCACTCACTGTCTGTAGTTGTAGGCGATATCTGCAAACTCCTTCCTCCGGGCCCGGTACACAGGATCTTTGAACCCCTGAAGAGAAATGGCCACGGTCAGCCCACACCAAAGTGAAAAGGTGAAGAGCCTTCCTCGCAGAGAGCACCCTCGGGTGTGGCTGGTGCATGCAGGCACAGCAAGGTGGGTGGGAAAGTGGCCTCCAGCTCCTCTCCCTCCCGGGCTGCAGAGCCACCGGAGCAGCCACCGCTTCGTCCCCCAGGCCCTTTTGTTTTCTCATTCCCTATAATACAGGTAAACTGTTCCTTTACAGCAACAACGAGGTGCTCCTGGCAAGAGCAACCCAGAATTATCAGTGCTTGGATAACCATGCCCTTCTGGTTTCCCGTGGAGCTTGCTGCTGTCCCTGGCACAGCTGGGCTGCTCTAGAGGAGCAGAATCAAAACACATTAGAAACACAAACATCGGCTCGATCGGACCTTTTAGGCAGATTTTCAGCATGAACCAAGCTTAAAAGTGCTCATTTTCCAACTGCTGGAGGATCAGTAGCCATTTATCAGGCCAAAAAACCCTATTTGTAGTACAAATTCAACCATTTGAATTGTGGCTGGGAGCTTGACCTTTGCAGCTAATTAGCTAATTAGCAACAAACCCAAGGATAAGAAATAAAACCTCTAAATCTTCATCTGGGATAACCATTCTCCTGTCCCAGTGTGCCTGCTGTTTAGACTAAAAGATCCTCAGGACCAGGAGTGACTTCACCAGCTGGAGTGCAGGAACATCCTCCTTCCAAGCCAGGATGCCCTTCTGCAGGACAAATTGGAACAGCTCCTGGGTGCTGCAGCAGTCCATAAACATTTCTCTTAGTGCTGAATGGCACAACTGGACTGAGGGGGCATAAAACACAACCAAGTACAGGAGGCAGCTGGAGTGTAAATTCAAGGGTGTGAATCAAAAGGAGATAAGCAATGGCTGAAAAAAATGCACTGTTCAAGATTAACCTGTCATGGAGGTCATTGTTATTAAATTCCATGCATCACTTAGCTACTAAAAACACGGTCTGCTTTAATTTCTCTTTTTCTGCACTTTATGGACCGTCATGCCTATTTACCCCAGCAGCTGGCTTTCTTTTTTAAGGCACAAGTGCTCACTAACTAATTCTAGGAACTGGAGGAGAGATGCTTCATTCCTTTTTATATATTTTTTTCTTTTCTTCTGGTTCTTTTTTCACATACAATCTTGGTCTATTCCCGCATGACACACAAGGGGGCCATTGGCTCAGTGTACCTCCTTTCATTCTGCCTTTCATGTGACCACAGTGAACATCATGGATCATTGTACATGGTACATAACATGTCTGGAATTAAGCAATAGGTAGTGAATAACTAATCACCCCATCTCAATTAAACTAATAGCAGCAATTTTTGGTGCGCTGCATGTAATTTATTTATAATCACCCTATCTCAATTAAACTAATAGCAGCAATTTCTGGTGCACTGCATGGAACTCAGCGTGTTTTGACAAATGAAAATAAGTTGTTGTTTGCTTGGAGAGGGAATAGAGGCAGAAAATATTCTTGTATCTGAACAACCAAAAAACCACAAAACAAATTTTTTTATCAGCTAAATCAATGAAAAAAACTTTCTGATGCTACCATTTAAACCACAAACTTTTTGAACCAAGAACCTTTTCTTTTGTTGTGTTTCACCATAAAAATACCGTGTGAGATTTAGCATCCACATAACAATACACTGAGCTAAGTCATGTGTAATCAAGGATGAAAAAAGTCTTTCTTTCTCTGGACTATGATGTGTTGCTTCTTTTTCTTGTTAGTGATACATAAAGTGAGCCTGAAATCACTACTACATCAGAGCCTCCTGGGAAGACTAGACGTGTCCCTGCAGTAGCCCTGTGGTCTGAAAACCACAACAACTTTTAAGGTCTCCTGGCATTTGCTCAATTACAACAGCCTTTGATTATTTCAGATTTATTCCATAACCAGGGATTGTGCTGATTATAACCCTAGAAATGTGGCAGCCTTCTTGCACCGTGTGAGACTCACTCTACTAGATCTGTACTAAAGAAAGCACATATGAGAGAAACATCAGTGCCAATAATTAGAAAAAAGTGCTAAAAATAATTCTTACAGGATGATCAGCATCCAATTCTGCTCCATAGCTTAGGATCTGATTGGCAAATCTGTCCAGCTCCTGGATACTTCTTGGGAACCACGGTACTGCAAAACAGAAAATAAATATAGACTGGTATCCTTCTTTGTTACTTGATTTTGGGCTGCCTTCTGACATTTTTATCTTTTCATCATATATATAAAGAACCATAGGCAAGGGGCTAAATTCTTTCAATCCTTTTCCCCATAGTAAGAAACAAGAACAAACCAAGGAAATTGGCTTGAGTTTCTGATTGTTTTACACTGTTGGAAGAACACAGAGCATCAAAAGCATCTGACCCTTGGTGCAGAGCTAGCTTGTAATGTTTATGATTTTCTGTTTATTACTTCTGGTCTCTTGGCTTATCAAAATGCAGAAAATTTTCACAATAAGCCAGAATTATCCCTTTCAAAGGAACAACAAGAAACCCCACAATAAGGATAAAGAATTTTTTGGACTGTCTGAAACACTCTAAGACCCACTAGAGCTAGGATTCTGAAACAAAACGATAAATGGCATCCTAACACCTCAGACTAGTGTCACATCACTGCAGTCATTACACAGTAATGCATTAACTTGATTAACTTCCTTGGTCTGGTTCTCTACTGCCTTGTAACTCGTATTCTGTGTGCACTGTCTCGGGCACAGCGAGCATGTGAGAAGGGACTGTGTTGGCCACACAGAGTGTAATGCCCATGTGACCCTCTTGTTACAGAAGGACATCAGGTGAAGGACAAAGAAGAATCACAGGGATTTCCAGATGCAATGTGTTGAGATAAGAAAAGAGTAAGTCAAGCATCTTCACAGCAATTCAATACAAGGACTGAACAGGGGCAGCCTCTATCAGTAAAAAGTTTGCAATTCATTGAAACTTTCTTGTACTAATGGGTGTTGTCTGCTCAGCCAGTGCTTGGAAAACAGCTGATTCCTCTCTGTGGCTCTCTGCTCAGCTGGGAGTGCCCATGCTGGGCCTTACCTCCCCATCTTACTTTGGGGGCTGTGCCAAGTGAACCTGATCCTCGGCCAGCAGCTGCTGAATGAGTTCTCTGCCTTGCCTCGGTGATGGGGCTCACCCCAGACCTGATGGACCACCTACAGGATAAGAGGATCTCTGTCTCCAGGACTATCCAGCCGTGCTCACAGCAATGGGTTTCTGCAGGGAACCTGCACCGAGGCGCTGGAGCAGCAACAGCGGCTCTGCAGGGCTCGCTTTGGGGGCCGCTGCTCAGCCCCACGCAGAGAGAGGGACAGAGAGCCCACTCCCCTGACTGCTGTCCCATCTCCAGCCTGGCTCCATGCCGGGAGCCCTCACGTTTGTTTCCAGCAGGAAAACTGGCTGCTGGCCAGGAGGATGCCGGGGTGCCGGAGCTTGCCGGGATGCAGGGACCCGCCTGCCGGTACCCCCGGCAGTGCCTTCTCCCGCCCAGCAGAAGCGGGATTTGGTCTGCATCCTCTCCGGGATGCGCAGGCTTCTCTTTGCCCGGAAAACCAGACCTGAGCAAGTCACTAGATGGCAGCAGCAGACCCAGGAAGGTCCCTAAATGGGTTTCTCTGCTGCTAGATGTGCCGCTCGAGAAACAGCTCTTAGCTGCTCGAGAAACCCTCTCTCCCCTCTCTGTTAGAAAGTTTCCTGCACCCCCAACCCCTTCACTTAAACTAGTCACAGGGGGGAGTAAAAAAAAAGGTGTGTTTGATCCATAGAGATCCATCTGATCCATGGTTACTACTTACACCATGTCCTGCCCATTTTCTATCTGGGTTTATCTCTTGGCTGTATCACTGATCTTAGTGTGATGGTGGGGAATTGCTTCATTGTGCTTCAGACTCCCCACTACCAGCCTGGGGTTAGGCACACTGGTGAATGGTTTTGTGTTAGGCACTGGGGAAGAAAAAGCTGCCTGGCAGTCCCACAGCAAAGGATTTGTCAGTGCTGTAGAGAAAACCACTCTTCTCAGGGATGCACCATGACCTGAAGGGTCCAGGCTGTGTAGAAAATTGGTGGGGGCTGAAGTCTGCACTGTATTTCAGCAGTGATGTCTCCAGGGCTTTGCTGGCCTGAATAAGAGAGGTCTCATTGGGCAGGGTTTGAACCATTGCTGACTTACCTTCCATATTGACTTACTTTCATTTTAAATATTTTATTCTCAAGATTGCCTTAGTACTTGGTGCAGACCTCATTAAAGACTCGAGGAAAAACTGACGCCAGGCTGCTGTGGTGTCAGGCCTGGGTGTGGAGATGGGTGACTTGCTTTTCCCCTACACAGGAGCAGCAATTTCTCTTCCTGGCATGCAGTCCTGATCCTGCCTACCCAAACACCAGCAGCAGCTGAACGAGAGCAGCTCTGGGCTTGCAGAGTTGGATGAACGTGGTGGTCAGTGAAAGGGAAGTCCCCAAGGAGACTTAGTGCTGCTTGCACCAGTATAAGTCGTTAAGTTGGGTCATGGAAAGTCTTGAGCTTTCTCAGCTCTTAAGGAAGCAAGAATCAACAACTTTGAACACAGTTCTGGGGCAAACACTTCATAAAGTCCATACAGCCCTCACATCGAGGTCCAGGGTGAAAAAAGGCTACTGGTGGGTCTTCTGCCTAGATGTGATGTGCCAGGATGCTGTCCCCAGCCCTCCCAGAAACTATTCAAAAGATCAAATCAAATTACCCCCGGCTAAATCTATCCCATATTTTGTTTGCAACATCCTCCTCCCGCCCGTTTGCCAGACTCGCTGTCTGTCTGCACAGCCATTAATGAATTGCCAGGGCGAGCTCTTGCAACACTGGCCCTCTGTGAAGGTCTGAGGAGCAAACGTGGGCTGATCAGTAATAAATATTGATTTGTCTGTAAGTGAAGCAGCAGCATTTATGGGATGGTGCTGGACACCCAAGTGGTGACCAAATTACCGTGGGGTCAAATGCTGAGCAGAATGCTAATAAGCCATTTATATGAGAGGCAGCAAAGCAGGGGCAGCGAGGACTTCTGCAGAATCCTCCACTTGGACCATTGTGAGGAGGGTCAAAGACAGGTCTATGCAATTTATAGCAGTTCAAGGCCCAGGTTTAGCCCTTTTTTAAACAGTCTCAAATGCTCTGGCCAGCCTCAGGGTCTAGCAAACAAGGCCCCTACAGATCCTCAGCTCCCAGCTTGTTTCAGAAATGCAGTAAATTGTCTGCATATCCCTAATGCTGCAACAGAATAATATTTAATTACTTTTATTCATGGGCTCCAAGTAGACTGCAGACACCCATCTTGTTTTTCACAAAGAGACATTAAGTGATGCACTGTGATTTTACAACAAATCTTTCCATCTACACAAAGAGCTTTTGGCCCAGGAGCTGACTGTCCTACTCGTCTGAAGTTCTAAAGCTACATTTGGATTTAGAGCACTTTTCTGGCCTACCCTCACCTAAAATTTCACTGGTGATCCTAATCTGATATTTGTAACTGTGTAACTGTATCATCAAAACTGATATTTAAATGTGTCAATTAAATTTTGCATTTAGTGGAGAAAAGCTACTAAAAGCAGCTAAAGTGACCCAAAAAAAAAAAAAATAAGGAAAAAAATGAAAAAAGAAGCCATTCCTTTATCCCTAGCCCAAGAAAACACATACACACAGTGTTTAACACTGAGCTATACAGAAGAAGCAGAACAAAGAAGTTTCCTCTGAGTGCCCACAAAGCAGTGCCCCAAGAAAGGGACTGTGTACTTCCCACAGGAAACAGAAAAATACCGTTTTTCTTCCTCAAATCATGAGCAGGAGCAAAATCTTTAGCAGGGAAGAAATAAGAGCATCTTAGGCAGCAGTAAAAGAATAAGTCCCTTGGGATTCCAGACTGCCTCTGGAAGAAAAACCTTCCCAGCCTTTACCTGCCCACTGAGACGAGTGTGGCAACATCCCCATAAACCATCTGTCTGAGATTTTGCTCCCTGGAGGCATTGTGCTCTTGTTCTGTGTTTTGGGAATAAGATTTCACACAAGCACGTCTGTGGACTATGACCAGATTTGCCAGGAGAATACATTTGAAAGACAAGCTGGCCTAAAATGCAGCACAAAGTCTGTTATTTGTTGATGCCATCGCTGATAAAGGACAGCATCTCACCACACTTCCTACAGCTCGGGCTGTTCCCATCTCACACGGCCCCTGTAGCTGCCTCTGCCCAGGATTTGCCACCCACAGTTCATTCCCTAAGCAGGGCTTGTTTGACCTTTCAAAATACGGTCCTTTGGGGATTTCAGTTTGACTGGACTGGACCCTTATTACTCATGAGAGGAGTTGAAATTTAAAAAAAAAAAAAAATGAAAAAGGGAAAAAAGAAATATCAATCTTCCTCTCTCTCCTCAGTAATAAATTGTTCCCATTTTATACTATTTCTGAAGCTAACAAACAAATACAAGTTATCCTCTCAGACAGAAGAGGATCAAGTCCCTTTTTGAAGCACTGACAGGATAATCTAGCTCAAAAACTCCTTTGATCAACACAGTAACATGCAGTGAAATCCTAATCCTACAGCTGACCACAGGAGTTTTGACTTCTGTGAGGTCAGAATTTCACATGCAAGACTTTCCAGGAGGATATTTAGAGCTGTATCTCTGTCTGATTCCGGCATATGTTTATAGGCAACTTTATTATTTAGTAAAATTTATTATTAACTTCTTCATAGTAACTAGAAAATTAATGTTACGCCCTAGTAGGTCCTCCATCTTTCTTCTGAAAATAAAAAAGCCCCCAAAAGTGAACCTCTTCAATCTGACATGATCATAAATCACCTAATCAACCTTTTGTCCCTTTGTCTATGAATGGAGAAAACTGACTCCAAAGAGAATCTGCCTTCTTCTTTTTCATCTTCAAATGTAATGTCATGGGTAGGACACAAAGGAAACGGTAAAAGGATTATGAGCACTGATCTCAAGAAGGTATTAATGTCCTTTCATGTTGTTCCTAGGAAGGAAGAGGAAGATCCAGACCTAAAGTATTTAAAGTCTGAAATCCTATTAAAATCACATCTGTTATCTGAAAAGGCATTTAAGTCTGTCTCAGACTATCTGCTGGGCAGCCACCACTGCACCAAGCAGCCTCAACTCCAGCAAATTTCTGAGAATTAGGAACATGAACAACTCACAAAATCATTCCTTATTTCCCTCTGAAGGCAGAACTGCAACTGACCTCCTTGGGATTTCTTACAGTAATAGCAAGATAGTCCTGTTCCCACCAAAGTGGGTGGTGAAGCCTTCCTAGTTTCCCATTTCTGATTTCTAGTCAGAATCGTGGCAAAAATTTACACTGACATAAAATCTCCAAATGAAAAACTTACAGTATAGAAAATACAGAGACAAATGTAATCATAAAGACCCAAGAGGATCTCCTTTACTGCAGGGAAAAAAAAAGTAATTTCAGTATGTGACATAGTCTGAGTCAATGTTAACCTTGTCAGCATATCCTTACCAGTGTCCTTCTTCTTAGTTCGTGAAAGCTCATGAACTGTCGCTCCAATATCACTTCTCAAGGACTTGATGATCTTGTCCAGTGCTGGGACATTCTTGCCTTCCAAGTTAATGAAGAATTCATACTCATCTTTGTTGAGACGGGAAGGTCGGGACTCAATGTGGGTCAAGTTTATACCTTTTTCCTATAAGAAGGAGAAATTTTGATCCCACAGTTCTTGGGGGAAGGAATAAGACAAAGACTGAATAAATACACGTGTCAGTCAACAAACCATACTGTACCATCCAAATAACCCAAAAGCATCCACTGGACTTGAGGACTTTCACAACAGAGAGAGAAACAGAAAGGAAGAATGAGAAATATGTGGGATTCACCCTTGTACAGAGCACCATCACAAACACTAGGCACTACTGAAGGCTTAGAGGAAGGTGGAAGCAGAATATAAGTTGTAAACAGGCTTTCTATTGTAAATGGCAACTCCAGTACCTCAAGCACATAATGAGAGCTTGTCTGTGTTGACAGAGACATTTCCCCAGGTTCAACACAGGAAGGAGGCATTCCACCTGTAGAGCATCCTCTCATGGGAAACTGAATGCTGTTTTGATGAGCATCTTGACAGAAGACTAGATGAGCAGGCAGCTGGGCACCCTGTGAGATAAGCTTCTGCCAAACCTCTGCACAGTCACCTGCAAGGCCACCTGCACAGTTTCCAGTGCTGTGAGCAGCTGTTGGGCAAAGATCCAAAGGGAAACATGGATCTGCACCAAAAAAAGGCAGCCTACATTTGTACAAATAAAAAGATGATGTTCTAAACCACAGAGTTGGTGATGGGACCTCTGAAGATCAGCAAGTACAATAATCTGCTCAGGTTGCCTGAGCAGATTGCCTAGGGCTATGTCCAGTCAAGTTTTGAGACTCTTTAGTCTCTCTGAGCAACTGCTCATGAGCCTAATCACCCTCACAGAGAAGGAGTTTCTTATCTCAGAAATTCAAGCTCTGTCTCACCAAATATCTTTGCTAACCATCAGCAGTGTCTCCTAGCTCTGAAGAAAGAGACCATTGGCACCCGTAGCATTGACAACTACAGCCAGTGGGAGCCTGACCTCAGACATGCTGCCATGTCGATGTGTAAGTTGCAAGTGCAAGTAAGCAGTTGAACAAAAAAGTTCAGGAAAACAAACACAAAACAAAACAAAACCAGAAAGTACAAAAGAAAAGTCTACCCCTGTTAACTAACTCAAATGTTTTACTGAGCACTATAAGTTGAATATGAAACCACCGGGGTTTTTTTTCCTTTTTTTTTTTTGAGGAAAACCTTTCAAACAGGTTTCTATGGGCATCGATTTTGCCACCTGACCTTCCTGACACTCACACTGTTGCTGCAGACACAGCATGCCATGGCCAGGTCTGGACTTCTGTCCCCTGGGAGGAATACACAAATCTCTGGACAAAATCTGGGCCGGGCCTGGCCTGAAACCACAGAATCATAAAATCATTACCCACAGAAGAGTCAAGAGGGGCTGACACATGGTGATCAGCATCCCTGGAGAAACTTTTGGTTTTTGTCTTTCAAGCTAAAGATGGCTCCAAACTCCATGGGGTAAAGGGATGGCCCTGCTGCTGTCAATGTCTAATCTCCTGCTACGGTGGGATCAGGATTTCTTCCACAAAGTAACACTGTGAGGATCTACTTTTGACCTACAAGGAAGAAAAAGGGAAGATTTTTTAACTGTACATCCCTCTTTCTAAGCCTTTTTAGGGTTTTCTTTGCTCCTCTCAGTGCTTGCACAGCGCTGGAGGGCATCTGGCAATCAGCAGCAAAGGACTGATTTACTCCTCCACAAAAGGCAGTTTATTCCTTGGTAGGAAACATATATGTCATTACTCTGTTCCCTGAGCATTGCACACTACAGATGAACTCAAACTGTTTGGCTAGATACCAATACAATGAGTTGAAAAGGTCAAAAGCACATTCACCAACTGCTGCGCTCGAGAGATGCTGTTCTTGGGAGAGAATGGGCAGCACTGTCCTTGGCCCCAGGGACAGTTTGTTTTAGGCCTCCAAAGCCATTTCCCAAACAGACTGCACATTGTCCCATCCGTGTGGTGAGGCACTGGGAGCTCCTGACAGAGAGCAGCCACAGGGAGCTGCTTCGCTTTTGCTGTGTCTCAGCATCCTCATCCTAAAAGTTTGCTTCCTTATGCCTAGTCTGGATCTACACTTTTTAGTTTAAAACCATTATCCCATGTGCCATCACAAAAGGCCTTGCTAAAACTCTGTCCCCATCTTTCTTTCTTACAGGACCCCTCTGAGTACTTGAGGGCCACAATAAGATCACTCCAGCACCTTCTCTTCTCTGGGCTGAAAACTCCTTAAACTATATCCTTTTGTTTTTTGATCAGGTGATTCTTCTACTGTACCAGCTCTCCAGCTGGGCTCAGTGAGCAGCTGCACAGACAGCAATGCCCCCAAATGAATGGAATGATGCAGGGGCTGGGAATGAAGAGACAAACTGCAGGGTGGACACGAGACATGCTTAAGGCAGCAGGAGTACCAATACCTCTCAAACTATCACAACCTAATACTGAGACAAAGAGGCGGGAGGGAGGAAAAGAAGATGGAGGAAGGAGCCCATGGAAGAAGGAGCCCACAAAGAGAGTTACCTCCTTTCTTACACCTGAGAGAAGCAGAACACCTTCCCACAGAGTACCAAGCTGCTTTGCTGTTTATTTGAGGGATACCTGCCACTCAGCAATGTGCAGAGCCAACCTGTTACCTCTTTGTGCTGAGACTTCAGCACTTCACAACAGCGAAACTGAAGGGAGAACCCTTCTGGTGACTGTTTTAAGAGCAAGAATCCAGCAGCATATGTCCAATTCCCTGAACTGGCACTCCTGGAGAAATGTGTTCTTGCGTGCTGTGCCTTGCTACTAAACCCTTGATTTCAAAATATTTCCAGTGGCTCTGTTACTAGAGTTGCTTTACAATACAAGTCTCAATTTCATTCTAGTCCAACTACTCCATCTAGTGTTTAATCTTCATAGTTTCACATTGTTCAGGACTTTTTTGTATCCTTGATGTTGCCAAATCTTGCTATTGCATCACATTTCTCCCAATAGCTGATGTTTTCTTTAAAGCTCAAACTTCTGGAGACAAATAGTTACCTGAGAAAGGAGAATAAAGGTATTTTTTTGGTTCAGTTGTACATTTTAGGCAGTTTTCAATCTCTGTTTTTAGTAGAGATTGACCTCTTGACAATGTATGTCTCCAAAAGTCAGCTAATAAAAATTTTTCCATTTATATGAGCTATTTTTTGTTGATGGAACCTAACTCCTAACACCTTTGGAAGATGTCAGCTGTCACATATTTGTGGCTGGATTGCCACCTGAATTATGAACATGGATCTCTTCTGCCCTTCCTATTTTAGAGCTGGTGGGAATCAGATGAGCCCATGGAGTGAGATTAGACATGTCTTTGCTGAATTCATCCCACCACCCATTGCAGCTGCAAGGAACTTGGAGAGCAGGTTGGGACTTCTCTCCTCTTCAGGTTTGTGACCATGGGAGAGGTTGAATCTCTCCCCTATTGACTCATCCTGTCATACAACCATGTGTCTGCTGTAGGTTTTTTTTTTCTTAAAACCCTCAGTCCTACGGGTGGAAAACTCAGCTTTTGTTATTTTAACACCCAATTCAACTGTACCTCTATCACTGCCCATTAGAGAAGGAAGTCTCAAGACATTCTTGGAGCTCCAAAATCAAGTTAGAATTAGTTTTAACTGAGTTAGAAGGGGGCAGCGATACAAATATCAATTTAAAACAGAAACAATGGTGGATGTAGGGAGGAGATTGCCCATGTCCCTTCCTGCCTTACCTCACAGTGCTGGATTTCAGCCTTGGCTCCCTTTCAGAGTCTGTGAAGCAGCTCCAGCCCCTTGCCCAGGTTATTCCAGTTATTCCATCTTTACTGAGCACCACCTATGCTGCAGCTGCCCACACCAGCAAGAGAAAAGCAGACTGGTGCTGCACTACACTGGCAGTCTCACTGAGGTCACTGCCAAGAGAATTTAGTCCCACCCTCTGTTTAATGGCCTGGTCACTGGAAAAGGAAAGTTGGGTGTTCATAGCTACACAGGGAAGCTTTCAGTAGGGACAGATATCTTCTGAAAATATGAGTTATTACTTCCCATGAAACTCATTCATCCTTCTGTTCACTAATTACTAAATGCTCCTATAGCTGGTTCTCAAACTAATTACAGCTGTGAAATCCAGCTGCAGTTTGTTTTCATGACTGTTGTCAATTAAGTTTGGCTTCATCAGGAGATCCCACACTGTTACCGAATGAAGAACTTTTGACCACACTATGGTGCAACTAATAAACATTAAGTGAGAATTTGGGTAAAAATCTTCCAAAAGAAAGATTTTACTTGCACTTTCTGGTACCAAAAAAAAAGAGATTACATGTTCTTTTAATCCTTGCCATGGTATAGTTCAGGGTTTCATGAGGGAGGACACTTTCAGAAGCACAAGTATAAACTCAGCGCTTAATTTTCATGTATCAGAGGACTTAGAAAGTTACAGTGGTGCCTTCAGCCATAGATTCTCAAAGCAAAGGCAAAGACAGCCATTTGATTCAGCTTTACTGTCCAAGAGCCTGCTTCTCATCTGGAGACAGTGCTTCCCCATCTTCTCCTTCCCAGCTGCTAGGGTCTTCCTTCCAAACTCCTGGAGGAAAAGTGTCCTAGAAGAGGTCACTGCCAGCAAAGAGCACGAGAGGGCAGCTGGCCTGGAGCAGCCCCTGGTTTCCATCACTCAGCACTTCTAACCCAGCCCTGAAATTCCATATGAGGCTTGCAGCAGAATCTGCTACAAAACACGTGGAGCAGGGCAAACCAAAAACGTGACAGCATTTGACATTACATAAGTACCTGTGAAGAGGACACTCCTCTCTTTAAACCCATGCTGGTTCTTTAGATCAAGAAATCCCGTTCTTGTGGCCATAGGAAAAGGAGGGATAACGCCAAAGATGTGGATTTGGAAGAGTGCAATGAAATGATCATCGCTGTGCATATGTACAGTGTAATGAAAAAACAATCTTGTGGTAGAGGCAAGCCTGGCCTGTTCACCTATCGCTGTAGGCACTCCCAACACACCCCCTGGCCAAAGTGACTGTTTTCTTCCCCTGATTTGGAAACAACCACCAGAGAGCCAATACCTTCCCAGGGGACAAAGCGATAGCAGTCACGTAGGACTTCTTGCAGAATAAACTTCCTAAACAGAAGCAGAGCAGTTACCTCTGCTGACTCTGGAAGTGCCAGGTCTCCTTTAGTACAGCCTCTTACTCCCATCCCATCCTTCCAGGAGCAGGAACTTATCCCCATGGGACAGATGGGACAGTAACTTACTCTGGGAGCAGGAGTACTTAGTGCAAATCAACTTTTTTTTTTTTTTTGAGCTAGAGCCCTACCCACTGATGGCTGTGCCTTTCACTGAGGTCCTGCTCTGTATCTGAGAAGGTCCAATCAGTGAGGAAAAGATAGAAGACTGCTCTCTGACAATGGGTTGAGCAAGCTTTTAATGTATCCCAGTGTTTGCCACATAAAACAGCTGATGATCTACTACTTGTAAATTCATCAGAAAAAGAACTTCAGAAAAAAATCAGTGTATTTACGAATTCATGTGGAAAATCTGCAATTAGAAACTGAAGGCAATCCTTTTTTTATATGAAAATCCATATTTCTGATAATTTTGATGATGAATTTAACTACAGAAAAGGCAATCTTTGAGGGGGAACAATGTGGGTTTTTCTTAATTTCTTTTTTCTTTCAGAATGAACTTGTTGTTTAAAAAGCTACCTCAATTTCAATAGGCTTTTATCACTACAGAGAAACAAATATTTCTACCACATGTAACACTTGGGTCAAAGTGCTCAGTTTTGCTTTTTCAGTTTTGATAAAAAACCTAGAAGATTTCTCCTTTTTTTTCACCTCAGCTTATATTCAGAACATATTTGCTGTGTCCAGTGAATCAAAAAAAGAAACAAATTTCATGATGACTGTTCTGTCTTCCTGATTTTAAGCATGATATTTTACTCATGTGTGCTGTTCTGTTTTAGATGAAGGTATTTATTCTATTTTTGGCTACCTAGCTGTCATCTTCTACAACACAAACAGCACAGGGCTGCACCAAGGAGTACCTCAGAGTACAGCAGATCCCATTAAAGTGAAGCTGGTGTGAAGACCCTGCTGGTGGGTTTGTGCTGTCCCTACAGCCACCCTCAAGCCTGCAATGAGGACAGAGGTGACAAAGGGACTTTTCAAGTACAAAACAATTGGGTTTGACAAGCAAAAAGTGAATGTCAGCCACATCCCAATATACAAACAGAGCAGTCAGTGCAGAAGCAAAGTGGAATCAGTTTTAGCAATCTGCTTACTGCTGAGCATGATTGAGCTGCTAGCACTTTACAGCACATCACAGTGTGAATCTGGCCCTGTGGACACATCTCTCCACAGGACAGGTGAAGAAGTGGCTGCAGGGGCTGTACTGCCAGCAGTGGCATAGAGCAGTCCAGGAGGAACAGATTCATGCAGTCAGACAAAGATTTGCTAAGGAGAGAGAAGGAAAAAGAGCCAGGGATCAGAAAAGCTTAGAATCCTACTGAGGTCTGGTGTTCACATGAGTTTTCCTGAGTAAACATGAGAAAAAACTGGAATTAATCAAATATTTTTTGGACATAAAGCCAACAGAAAAAAAGAGTTGAGTTCATTGAGGAGCTCAAGAAAAAAACCTTCAAGCAAAACAGGAAAAACAAAAGTTGTCACTGTAGCCACATACTTGTGTGCAACTGGGACATGAACAGAAGACTAGAGTTTGGGTCTGAGCAAAAAACAAATGTGAGAGCATGCAGTACTCTGCCAACTGCATGAGCAACCTGAGGGATGTTTGAGTAGAACAAACATTAATTTTTCCCAAAAACACATTGAAATTCTTTTAAACTTGGTGTCTCAGAGGACATAATTCTGTGCCATGAACACTCTGTAGTCTCTAGCCTTGAGCTTCCACCTACCTGGGGGAGGCTCCCCTACCTTCAGTCCATCCTGGCTCCCGTAATGGGGGCTTACCCCTTCCATCTGGGCTGTGTCTGGACACCAATTCCTTTCCTGGGTGGTTTGCTTTGTGGGTGAGTAGAGAGTCTACCTGCCACAATGCCTGATGAGCCAGAAGTCTTGAACCTCATCATATCCAGGGGCAGACCCAGCCTAGAGAGCACACCTTTTGGGCTCTTGCTGCCCATGGAGAACAAGCTGTGACAGGGGCTAAATCTGGGCAGTTTCACCCCAGCACAGGAGTGGGACATGGGCAGGATGTGCATCCCAGGAAGGGACTCAAGAGTGGCTGAACAACATTCCCAAAGTAACCATTTTTTTTTTTTTTTCAGTTCTTAAACCAAAGAGAGGATGAACCTCCCCAGGTCCATACAGAAACCTCCTCTACAGAAAGACATCCTGTGTGCTGATGGCAGCTCAAGATCTCTCCTTTCTTTAGTTGTCCCCTTAATTCCCTATGACTTAGCCTTGATCTTGCTTCCATGATTCCTTCCCTGGGAGAGAGGGCAAAGTTTCAAATCTTTTATATTTACAGCTCATTCAACACTCCTCCTCTCCCCATCATATCCCAGACTAGTTTTACAGACTGTCTAGAAAATAGGAAAAATTGTCAAAGCCACTGCTGGAGGCAGCATCCCTTAATCACTCCCAAATCCAAGCTGGGAGGAGAGGGTTGAGCTGTGCTCACTCCCTGCATTCCCATGCATGAGTGCCCAGGGAGGTGCCAAGAGTCTGGGCAGCTCCCAGCCTCAACAAGGAGCAGAAAGTTTACAGACATGCAACACGTGGCCATCAGCACCAGCAGCTGCACAAGGTGTGGACCCCCTCCACAAAGTCAATAATTGCTGCACCACAGCTGCTCCTGGAAACAGTCTGATCCTATTTGTGGCTCATCAGTTTTCTCTTTTCCTTCTGCATGTGGCTGTGTGAGTCAATGACAGCTGGAGCAGTCATCCTCACATCTCCTCCTGTGGGGCCCCTCTGAGACAAACCCACCGCATTTCCACAAGCCAGCAACAAGCTGATGACACAAACCAGGGGACAAGGCTGGGTATCTCCCCACCCAAGGAGCCCACCCACAGAGAATCTGAGCTAACTCCTGTAGCATCTCACAGTTAATGTTGCTAGGCAGTGAAGGAGTACAAGACAAAAAAAATCCCTGAAGTTCTTTCTGTTTGTTTCCACTCTTCACCTGCATATCACCACTTTCCCTGTCTGTGCTGTGGATTCACTGGACACAAAGTGTGCTTCTCTGAGGCACCATAGCTATGGCCCAGGTGGAAAAGGAGGGAAGGCTATCTCAGCTGGGCATGTATGTGAGAGTTACACCTCTGTGCAGTTCTTGGAATGGAGTTACAGCAGCCCAAAGGCAGCTGGTTCACACCAGGAATTCCCTAACAGCAGCCCTGAGGAGCTGTTCTCCTACCATTAAATCCCATCCACCCACCTATCCGTTTTCCCACTGCAATGCCAAATGTAAAACTGATATAAGAGCAGCTACGTCAGGTCTCTTGTCAAGTCCTGATGCTGGAGGAGGCTGCAATTTAGCACAGAAAGAATTGGCTTTGTTGGGATGGAAAACCAACTGAGTCCCAACCTCTCAGCTGCAATCAGGGTCACTTGGAAAAAACATGACTCAGATGGCCTAGTTTAGGTAACTGCTTCAGGGCAAGAAAAGTCACATCCTAGAAGTGGTTACTTCTCTCTTTCCTGTACTAGCTCCTCTACAATTTTTTTCTTTAGAGCTGGCAGCAATTTAGCTAGTAGACAGCAATGCATTTAATGAGAGAATATCTGGTCTCATTAATTCACTTACAGACATGCACATCACTGACATATGGACATTTTGCTGGACTTTACTGGTCAGTTCGTAGATTCAGACTTGCTCTTCTGTTGTTGGTGTGAATTTCCTTTTATCTTAGTTAATCAAATATGTCCTATTTTTCTTTTGTTCCCATAACACATAACCTTTCGTTTCCTGGTAAATTCAATTTAAGAATGGAAAATATGCAGGCCACAACTTTTTAGAAAGAAATTTCTGTTTTCAGGCACAACTATTACGCAAAAAAAAAAAAAAAAAAAAGCCACAGAACCAATATAAAAGTGTATTTGCTTGGGAGCACAGAGTACACAGTTGTGTGTGTTGCAACACAACCATCCTGAATTGCAAGGGTTTCGTGCTTTTCAAACAATATTCATGATATCTGGACATATTTCTGCAAGAATAAATAGGCACACAATGTCCTGAAAAGTAAATGGCTCCTTTTTTTCCCTAAAGCTTTTCAAATCACTCAGCATAAGTTACTGAGTCCCACTGGTATAAAAAAAAAGTCATCATTTTATGCTGTTCTGTAGGCACCCCCTACTCACTCTGTAGAAGTACTGAAAGTGGGAGATGGTAGAAATTTTTATATCAGATTTATTGAGGTGGACAAGAGCTAAGAGCTGCCCCCAGCAGAATTACCTTGTGCAATGTGCATTGGGAGTCACATGGCTCACATGCAGGTTTTATTTGCCTTACAAGTTATAAGGCAAATTATTTTGTTTTAAGTCAGTCTTACAGCCCAACTTACTCCTGTCTCTTACTACAGCAGTTATAATTAAATATTTCCCTCTTAAGTGGAAAAAATGCATTTTTTCCCACCCTTGCGTCAGTTAAAAGTAGAGGTTTTAGTTTAAAAAAGCTACCTCTTCTCCAAGACTTTAAGGGATTTTAAGCCCAGAAAAGAAATGCAAGCTGATTTCCCCTGTAATAGCAATGAAATAGAATCACAAACCAAATCTCCAAGACCCCGAGAAAATGTGGTTGCAATGCAAAATTGTAAAGACCTGAAGGAAAATCTTTACCTCAAATGTGCGCAGGACTTTAGCCAATGCCCCAACTTCTTCTTTCAGAGAGAAAATCAAAGAAATCACACCATTTTTATTGGGGGAGTCTTCAATATAACTAGATTCCTGAAAGGAAAGAAAAAAAAATACACAGACAAAAATGACTACCGTTCACCCTAGGAGTCAGTTTTGCCTTTCTCCATTTCCCTCTTGCACAGCAGCAGTGATGTAAAGAGGGTATAAAACAGCTCCCAGTGGGAATCAAGGCAACTGTTGCTGCGAGAAGCAGAGCAGCTGTGGGGCTGCTCTGATTTATGGTGGTAGAGACACAAATCCCTTCCCTCAAACTGGAGCCCTCATGAGAGCAAGGTAGTCAAAAAGAACACGCAAATAAGCCTAATACCATCCTTGCCTCGATTCATCCCTCAGGGAAGACTGAAAATATTACTGCACTTCAGTTTCAGCTACAGTGCAAAGTCCTTCCCTCAGGCTTCCCTTCCATCAGCACTCAGGGTTAAGCAGAGCAATGTAGATGTGCTCTGTGCAGAGATGCAGACCATGATCTGTTTCCCTTCAGTTCTGCTTGTACCTTCCAGGTACCCCCAGGAGAGAGGGGTAGTCACAGGAAGGATGGAAGGTGATTTTAAAACAAAATAACATCAAGCAAAGAAAACCAAAGGGAAAAAATAAAGAAAATTATTGGAGCAAACAGTTAGATCTTCCCTAAATCCCATAATGAGTAAGGATTCAATTAGGGCAAGATGTGTTTTCATTTATATTTGTTCCCTTTTTCTTATTGATTTTCTGCTGTGCAAATTCCAAAAGGAAATTTCCAGTACTCTCAAAGGTTTATTTTTGTTATTTTCACAGTTCTCATTACTAGAATGTCTTTGCATGTCTCTACATGTGTTTCTTTTCACAAAAGCCCTGTTAAGCAGGGAAGAGCTACTTCACCACTTCAGAAAGATTAAACTGAGCCCTGGAGTAGAGGCAGATCTTAAAAGCTGGGTACTTGGCATGGTACTTAATTTTTCTGATATCAGAATACATTTGATGCACAACCACCACAAACTTTTGGAGGCCACATTAATATCTCATTTGCTTGTTTATTTCATTTTTAAAAAAACGTTTACTGGCCTTGGACAAATTGCTTGTGGTTGGCATTTCAAAGATCACACCAGACATCTGCAACACAGATGAGTCCTGGTGTAACAAGTCCTGGGCTAAAGCTTGATTCAAGGTACTCATTCAAATATTCCTTATAAAGATCCGTATTTTTGGGCAGAGCTTGCCCTCGTTATGGCTATTGCACAATTAAACATATAAATCAGAGCAAAAAGAGTCCCAGTTCCCAAATATTGTCCTCAGTAGAGATAGCCTTTTCAGAAGACAAATTAATGATCAAACCCAGCTGCCCTGAAGCCATGAAGTTCTTGGTGGGCCTACATTTCCTGAGGCAGAGCTATGAAGAGCTGCCTTCTTTTGTAAAGTAAATAATGCTGATTCTTCAAGCCATCTCCAAGGAAGCTGCTAACAGACTGGCCACACATTTTTCTATCCAGCTTTATTTCCAGAGGCTGAAAAGGTTTTCCAAATGTCTTCCAGCTTTATGAGGGACCTCTAGTGGGAACTGTAGTAGAAGTGCTGGCTTTATGCACCAGAAGGAAGATTGCCACCTGTTCAGTTGTGACACTTCCTGCAGCATCTGTGTGTCTCTTGAGTCCTCATCCAGCCAGGGAGTCAGCCCAGCTCCGACATGGGGAGGACCAAGAGGAAAAGCAGCTGGAAGTGATGTGTCAGCTGGCTAATGAAACCCATTTACACCTCAAGCAACCACAAGGGAAAACGATGACAGGAGTCTGGCAAAAGTCAAAACAAACGTCTGTAGTACAGAAATTTTATGTTAGCGTGACCAAAACTGTCATCTCAAATACTGTCCATGCATTGATTTTTCCTTCTGTTTTCACCCACCACAGCCAAAACTGATCTTAAGGACAGAACTGGCTCCACCACTGTCTGTTCAATGGATCGAGATTTTGGTTTTCACTGTCTGCAACAAAACTGCTCTAAAAATCATGCAGTTATATATTTAACATATTCTTGCCAAGTCATGCTGTGAGGACCAACTTATATGACAGCTTGACTTGAATGTGTGTGACAAATGAAGAATTTGTGGTTTGGATACTTGCAAGGGATATAATGCAAAGTTGAAGTCCTGCAAGGTAATTCTGATGATTCTGATCTCTTAGTACAAAAAAGCCTTAAAAAAACCTTTCAAAACTTATTGGTCACTAGCCTTGATTTGTTGAGATCGGCTGCTTTCAATCTGTCCTCAGTCATTTTCCCATTCTTGCAAATTGATTTATATTGGTGCTCAAGAGAAAGGCACACTGTAGTAGGGAGTAGGCACTAGTGCTGTAAACAGCCTCATACTTGCTTAACTTCTTGCACATCTGCATATGCACTCAGTTCCCTGGAAGGCCTTTTAACAAGCATCAGTCCATGCCTGAGGCTGTCACAGAGGTGACATCTTTAATTGCAAAGGGGGAGAAGACTAAAATGATTGTTTTCATGGTACCCAGTTCTTGTCAGTATATAAGGAGGTGGCCTGCATCAATACACACTGCAGACAATAATCCTCAACACATGCACTGGAGGTGATAGCAGCAAAACCACAGCCAACTCACGTTATTGCTGAGCTTTTTGTAGTACTTATGCATATTTTAACTGTTGATCAGTTTTTCCATTCTTATTTTGGACTTTAACTTCTCATTCCTCAGCATACATGGAGGAATTGCAGCTTTGGGGTAGTTCTACTCTTCTGTTACTATTGTGATTATGATTCAGAGTTGAAGAAATAATTTTATTGTGTAGAAACATTGTTTCTTTGATATGTGTATGTGATTTATAGTGTGCAGTAAATTCAGCTCTAGTTTTCTTCCAGCTCTGTTTTTTTTCCAGGAAATAAAATAATAACTAGTTAATGAGCATGAACAACCATCCCTGGACCTAATACAATCTCAAAGAAAGTGATGTATGTAGATGCAATTTACCTCACAACAAACCTGCAGTTTTAGTTAGCCACTTTGCACATAGACTGGTATTGCCATTCTGACACAGGTGGCAGTATTAGGGGTCAATAACACAATCCTGTCAGCCTTCTAATCCATTGCTGAGATATTTAGCTAAAGCCCTTTAGAGTGAATTCCAACACTGATAAAGCCTGAGAAAGCTTTTCTTGTAATTTCCAGGATCAAAAATTTTCACCAGTCTGCTGTACATTTCAAACTTACTAGATATGCAACATGGGGGAGGGGGCGGGGAATATTTCAAATTAAAAGGTTTCTAAGTTACTTGTGAACATGGAACTACTTTCCAAGTCAGATTTCTTAAGGCATTTAAATGCTGATCACTGCAGTTCGTTGGAACCAAGCAATTACACAGCTTGGCTAAGCAGAAAGGTGAGACCCTAGAGAAATATTGTGGGAGTTCAGCCTCAGCACACAAAGCAATAGGAATAGAGGCATCTCTGCTCTTATAAAAAGTAGAAGCCCCTTTTTTTGCATATCTGATGCAGCTTGTCTCTAGCTTCAGCAGCATTGCATAGGACACACAAGTGCAGAATTTTGTCCTAATAATTAACCATGCTGGCCTCAGGTTACATCACTTGCCCCTGCAGTAACATCAGTGTCTGTATTCAAAGGCATGAACTTCAGGTCTTTCCTGTACTTCCCAAAGTAGAGAGTTCAAAGTCAGTCAGTAAACATTTAAAAAGAGGACAAGAGAGTCACAAAATTTAACAAAAAGCTCCACCAGAAGAACACATAACTTCATCTGTTTTCCTTTAACAAAATAAGACAGCTTTCTTACATCACACACGTTTAAGACCTCCAGTAAGCTGATGCTTTGGTTTTTTGCCATGTATGTAAGAATACTGTTGCAATGTTTGTTTGCATTCTCTCTGCCTTTTTGTGAGCACAATTAACAGCAGACAAGCATGGGGGCTGCCAAAACTGTTCAGGTATGGCCAAGCATCACAAGAGGCCACCTTGATTCTTCCCCTCTGGAGTCACACTGCCTCTCAGAGAGTGGAGGACAAGCATAGGAGTGAAGGACTGAGGCAGGACATCCCTCCACCTCTACAAAAAGCAGACACAGACCCCCTTACTTACCAGGGAAGAGTCACCATTCATTTTGCAGTGCTGTGAGTCCATGTTGCAGAGCCAGCAATGCCCACACCAGGAGGCCCCTTTAATACAGCAGGTGAAGCCTTCAGACCTAACTGCAGTGGCCAGAAATCTGTGCAAAGGTATTTAAAGTGGAGCAAGCAAGGCGAAGCCACCCCCTTCCCCAGCTCCCTCCCCTGGACAGCGTGCCAAGGGGGCGTTCTCCCTGCACGC